ATATTTGGCCCAATTAAAGCAATTACTATTGTACATGATCATATACAGTACACATAGTACATCAGTATCAATAATGTCATACCTGCATGTCAGTGGAGAGTATATCAAAGGTTGGTTTAAGTAGTGACCAGTGGTTGGGTCCCAGGGTTTGTAGTACTGCAGGGAATGAGAAGGCACAGTAGAGGGGGAGGTCCACATCAACACTCTGGGTCTTGTTCAGGTCCACCATACCTAGGTACATCTCTATCAGCTCATCTGGGACTATCTCCTGGAGAGGAGGAGGAGGAGAGAGAGAGGAATTTAGTAGTAATATATTTCTTATTGCTGTAAGTACATGTACATATGTACATGTATGTGTAGGTGTAAAAATGGCCGTAACTTGAAAAATTAAAGTTGGAATCTGCTCAAACTTTCTACACAGCATAAGGACATTAATATGTATCAAAAAATGTAATAAAAATTCAGGGTGATTTCGGAGCCAATTTTGGGAAAAACCATGGGCTATATAGCCTTGGGTATTTTTCAGATTTTTTGCTTTTTCTTAAAATGGCCGTAACTTGAAAAATTTAAGTCAGAATCAACTCAAACTTTCTACACAGCATAAGGACATTAATATGTATCAGAAAAAGTAATAAAAATTTGGGGTGATTTCGGAGCTATTTTTCGGAAAAACCATGGGCTATAGCCTTGGGTATTTTTCAGAATTTTGGCATTTTCTTAAAATGGCTGTAACTTGAAAAATTAAAGTCGAAATCAGCTCAAACTTTCTACACAGCATAAGGACATCAATATGTATCAGAAAATGTAATAAGAAGTTGGGGCCATTTTGGAGCCATTTATGAAAAAAACCATGGGCTATAGCCTTGGGTAATTTTCCTTTGGTAGTTTTACATGTACATGTACCTGTTCCAGTCCAGCTGTAAAGTATGGTTCATTATTAATAGTGGTGTTATTATCAAATACTGTAGTCATGTCCATGGCAGTGGATTGACTAGTGACGTCCATCCTGTTGAACGGGGTGCTGTTGCTATGACAACCATAGGTCCTGCCCCCTGATCCACCCGTCATGGTCTGTTCTTCATGAATCTGACCATTAGCACTTTGAATGAAAACACGAACCTGGAATATGTACAAAATTAATGTTAATCATATAGCTCTTGTATTTTGTGGATATACACATATAAAATTTCACAAATTTTTCCTGCTAAGCATTCACGGATAAAAAAATTTTGTGAAATAATTTT